CTGCTGTGGTTTATTTTAGGCTTCTGAGTATAAGTAGGGACTGTACACAGCTATGTTAGATTAAGTTGATTGCTTTGGATGAAGCGCTGTACATTTTGCCAAAGTAGTACGTTAAGTATTATGGACCAGACTTGGGAGAGTTCTAAACTGCTAAAGACTGACCAGAATGTGGCACAAGAGGAAAAAATAATTAGGCCTGTCTGTTCTGTGTCCTTCTGCTGCAAGCAATCACTCTGCAAGGGGACTAGAAGTCTTAAAGCCAAATGGAGAAGGAACAAGTTTTGTTGGTGGTGGACAGCAAGAACTTACAGCATTCAGATGACACTAGGTCTGGAAGCTATAAGGCAAGGCAGAAAAGAAAAATGAAAAAGTGGAGATATTGGGACTGGCTGAGCAAAGGGACTGTGACCAGCAGGAATGAGGAAAAAGGTGACTTATGAGGAGTAGGATTGGGTCTGGAAAAACAAACAAAAAAAACCTCAACACTGCCCAAACAGAACAGCAAGCCACGGGCATTTCCAAGCACAATAACCTACCTACTGAGCTGTGGGATGAGAAAACTAAGCATTACAGTAAACATCACAACAGTTAGTTCATAGAAACTTCATCATGCCCTCCATGCTTACCAAATGTGATATCCAGGAGCATCATACAATGCCTGTCCCAAATAGTTCATGCTGAAGTGGAAAAGACTGGCTGCATCAAAGAACATGATGGAAGTGCACAGCAATGCTAGGTGAATAATGAAGATGACTGAACTATAATACAAGGTAAAGTGTTTCACAGAAGAAAGGGGCCATAAAAAGGTGGCAATGAGGTTATGCAAGGGAGAAAAATGATTTTCTTGCAGCAGTTAAGGAGACTCTCCATAAGCAAAAATGGGGATAAATATGTTTGTAGCTGTGATGGAGAGAACATAAGTGGCCAGTGCCACAAAATGATTGCTCATGGCAGTGATAGCTGCTGGTGCAATAGGATAAATCTGTAGCTTTCCTGATGTTTTCCAGAAGTATTTGTTTCAATGGCAGAAATCAGAAAAAAAAGCGTTGGTCCTTGCCCTATTCATTTTGCACAATATGCAATTACCTTTCTTCCCTAAAGATCCTGGGGGATGTTTGGAAGTGAATTAAGATCTGCTTCTAAATTTTGTCACTCAAGAACATTCCTAACAACAGGTTTTTTTTGTTTGTTTGTTTTGTTTTTTTACATGACAGAATAAAAGAATGAGAAAAAGAACATTACTTCTGCAGCAGAGAAATACCAATAAGATACAGTTCAGAGTGAAGGACTCCTATTTGACAAGCAGTTGGTGTTAGTAGGCAAGTAAGGTAAAAGTAACGGTAACATGGAACAGTAACAGGTAAATTGCAGAGTGAATCTCTGAGAATCTTTGGAAGTTGTGCTAAAGGTGCTGCCAAATCAGTCCTTCAGACAGGTGCAGACTGACAAGCCTAAGACATGTTAGTCTGAGGCAGCAACAAGCAGCTGAACTGGCAGCAGACCCCAACTTAAGACTAGGATGCAAGTGTTCACGGAACGGATTCCAGATTTCCATCTGCGTCTCACTTAAGCACTTTATTGGAAAACCTGGAATGTGGTGAGACAGACTAGAGATTTTAGAGTGTAAGCCCTGATCCAGCTGCTCTAAGTCAAGGTCATCTGTTTTCTCAAACTCCACGACAACTGACATTTAACTCAGTGCTGGAAAGCAATTTCTAAAATGGAGCACTAGACAAGGCTGATATGCGTATGAGGGAGAAGCCCTCATGTCTTGACATTGGACTTGAGAAAGTAAAACACATTAGTGAACAAACACGCAACTTTGCTGGATATTGTTATTATTATTATTGCTGGATATTTCTCAGATTCAGTTTTGCTTGGCCTCTCAGACAAAAGGTCTGAATTTTGGATAGACCTGTGTGAAGCCAGGAGTGGGACTCAATCCTTTTGTGGGTCCCCCTTCCACTGTGAGCCAACATAGCCTGGAAAGGAAGGCAGGAGCCAGAGGAGCAGCTCTTATTGGGACCCAAAGTGCCTCCCAGTGACCTCACCAGCAGCCTTGTGTGTGCAGAATGTACACGTGTACCATGTAAGCAAGAAGTATAGGTCTCAGGGCCTTAACAGTCCTGTCACAGCAGAGTCTACATGGGCCACAAATGGTACCAGGTGAACAAGCCACACCTCTGCACAGAGCTGTGTTTCTCTCCGTAGCTCTCCATCTCCAATTTCATCTGATAGAATGGATTTGTTAATTAGATCTGAGATCCAAGAACTCTGTTCTCCTGCACACGAACAGACTTATTGACCTTTTATGTTCAGACAAAAGCAGGCTCCTTGAACTAAACTCACCAATCACAACACTCAGTGAAACATGGGAGTTAATTTGGCGTAATTGGAGCATAGATCTCCTCCTGCCCCCAGGGAACCCTTAGGGAGCAATAGCGCTGGTTAGCTCCTTGTTGTCTTTGTTAATCACGTTTCTCAATTGATTTGTGTTACTGTATCTCTCAACAGCTGGTGTGATACTTAAGACAACGGCTTTGGGAAGGATCCAAGCTCAGCAGCAGGGCCTATTTCAGAGACAGACCTGTGCTTACTGTGGGGATGCCAGTGGTATTCATTTTGCAGATTTCCTCCTTTCACAAAGGAAAGGAAAGAAGAAAAAAAATACTATTTGAAATACATCCTGGTTATTCATCACTGAAACCCAGTAAAATAAAAGCCTTCTACTACAAAAATCTCACAATATAGCTCCTCGAAAGTCAGCTAACATCTAACATGAACGACTAACTCCTGAACTCAGCCAGGAGGCTATCCCCTCTGATTGGGGATTTGGTGCCCATGAGCCACACATTGGATTCTTCCAAGTCTGAGGCACACAGTACCTGGGGATGCTGACTGAAGCTCCAGCACGTGCATCTCACAGCAGCTTCCCCCTGCAGCATAACTAACCACACTGCTCACTGACCTTACAGGAAATAAACAAATTAACTCCTTTTTGTTGATATTCCAAGGAAATACCCCATAAAAGCACAATCTCCTCTTAAGCACTTCTGACAAAATATTGTTTGGTGGCCCTGCTAGGCAGGGGGGTTGGAACTACATGATCCTTGAGGTCCCTTCCAACCCAGGTGATTCTGTGATTGTTTCAATTTTTCTTTCCTGTCTTCTCCTCCCTATTTGGGAGATTTCCACAATGGTCTTTTGCCTGCTTTTAGTGGGATCACCCACACAGTTTCTAGAACCAACACTTGCTCATCATCTGCTTGAGTCTGTAGTGAATTACATCACTGTAAGTTACTGATTATGTTCCAGCTGTGCATGTTGCTTTGCACAGGTTCTAATTAGCCAATATTCATGGCATGAGGATTTGTCTCCTGACTGTGGCTTGGCCAACCCAAAGAGAAACACAGAGTTCATGTTGCTTCCATCAAACCCTTCTCTAGGAAGTGACTTCATGCATAGGGGATATAAAAGAATGTCAAGAACTATCTGCATATTAATAAATGATGTCACTTTAAAAACTAAATAACCTCTGGCCAAGCCAGGTTGGCAGCATGCTGCAGAAACATGTCTAAGCTGTGTGTTTAATCAGAAAGAGATCAGAAGAATATTTGGATAAAAGGCACACAGCAAACAAGCAAACAAATCCCACCATTGAAATACAAGAGCTGCTCTGAAAGTAATGCCTTCTATTTTATGATGTTGGCCCACAACATCAGAGGTGGATGTTGGTGGTATGGTAGCAGAGGCTGAACCTCCTCAGTCATATCCCGTTATATTTTGATGCCGTGGGACTGATAGCAGCACAGGGACAGCCTGACACAGTGGTGTCTGATATGGAAATGTACATGGAGCAAAAGGGCATCACTGAATTTCTCCACGAAGGAAAAAAGGCCCCCACTGACATTCACTGAACACTTATGGATACAAATTTACCGATGTGAGCACAGTAATGCAGTGGGTGATGCAGCAGCAACATGAAAGACAAGCCATGTTTTGGACAGCCGTGCACAGCTGTCACACCACAGATGAAGAGCAGCTCAACCAGCTCATCCACACAATTCGGCTAATGGTGGTAACTACATTGAAAAATAGTGTTTCATAGCTGAGAACGTGCTCTATTGTAATAGTGTTATCGTGATCTTTGTATCTGTTGTAGTTTCGTTGGAAATAAGCAGGAGGCATTACTTTCTGAGTGAGTGACACATTTTAGATGGGATATGTATATTTTTACTGTTGAGAATCCAGCTATCAGAAAACTAACACACATAACCTAGGAAGTGCATTCTGCACCAGTGCCGACTATTTTACTTAACATGTTTAGTGTACTAATTTCACTGAAGTCAAACTGTTCATAGAACCACAGGATCATTTGAGCTGGAAGGCTGGCTGGCAGAGGCCACCAGGTCCAACTCTCCTGTGCTGAACAGGAACACCTACATCTCCATCAGGTTGCTCAGAGCCCCATCCAGCCTGACTTTGGATGTCTCCAAGGATGGACACAAGAATTGCCCCATCTGGGCAATTTCATCCGCTCAGCAGCACACAGCCTGACGACCACCAGCCCTACAGGACATTTCACTTTGTGAAAGCCCCATTTCCACATCGTCCCGAGCCACAAGTAACTCCAGCGCATTTTGCTTTACTAATTCTTGCGGCTCTCCATTCACTCCCCTCAACAGCGGCACTTTCCCAACAAGAAACGAGCAGAGTTTAACTCGCTCCTTTCCCCACACCCGAAAGCCGCAATGCTAAGAAGACGAGGGGCGTTATTTCCCACCGCTCCGAAGCTCCCGACCCACGGCGGTGCCCTCCCCGTTCCCGAGGGCAGAACCGCGCTCCGGCCGGGCGGCGCGCACCCCCGGGTTTGAGCTGGCGGCTGCGGGAGCGCGCACGGGGGAAGGGCGCTCCAGCCCCCGGGCGGGGCCAGGCGGCAACGGGAGCGAGCTCGGCGGCAGCCGGGAGCCCGTTAGGGCACCTCTAGCGCTGCTCCGGCCATGGATCCCCTGCCCAAAGACGGCGAGAGCGCGGCGGGCGGGGAGCCCAGCCGGGGCGCTGCCCCCTCCAGCGGGGTGGTGGTGCAGGTCCGGGAGAAGAAGGGCCCCCTGCGCGCAGCCATCCCCTACATGCCGTTCCCCGTGGCTGTCATCTGCCTCTTCCTCAACACCTTCGTGCCAGGGTTGGGTAAGGAGCTCCGCCGCCGCCGAGGGAGGGAGCGAGCCCGTGAGGAAAGTTTCGCGACGGGAGCGGCGCTTCGCGCACCGCCCGACGGCCGCGCGCGGGGGCTGAGGAGGGGGAAGGTGGGAGGTGGGGTCCGCAGATCGCGGTGTGGCTCCCAGGGCCACGAAGGCAGGAGCTCGGAGCTGGAGTGCCGAGGAACCACGCGGATTCTGTTTTTCTTGCTGGCAAGTCCCGAGTGAGAGATGCAGATAACGCATCCTTAAGTTGCGGTTGTAATTCCTTCTATGTTTCTGTTTGACCCCTTCTAATTAAGAAATCCTTGCATTTACCTCACCTTGGGGCCAGCCGGAGCCTTGTAAGAGCGAGCCTTAGAAACACACCTGGAACAGCAGGCAGGGCGGCGAGCCGTCTGGCAGCGAATAAAGTGCTCCTTTTTGGGAAAATCAAAGATCCCATCCTACCTTGACCCTCCTGTAGCTCCCGTACACTGATACAGGAGCTCACCCTGCAGTAAAAAAGCTCCTACCCCACTGGCACCTGCTTTATTTGTTCCAGGTGGCTTCATTCCTTAATGAATCTGAAAGTCCGTCTGATTAAAGTGTGACCCCCAACCTATGCAGCACGTGTAAGCTGTTGCTACTCCTGTGTGTATGCTGTTCACCTACAGGAGTGTTCCAGAGGAAAATGTTAACTTACTAAAGTCCCTTTGAATTTTCCTATGGAAAGGAAGGCATTGGGATATAAGCTGTAATAGTATCAAAGCTGCAATGCTGCACTCTGAGGTGTGCTGTTGTCACAGCCTTTAGTGCAAGCACCTGCAGAACACAGAGCAATAAATCAAACTCTCCAGTCCAGTACTTTCATGATTTTTTGAGCTATTGTTATTTAGCAATTAATTCCTCACTGTCTTCAGAGGGAAGTTTTCAAAATCAGAGCTAAGTGAATGTAGCTTCCCACTGCATTGAAGGTGCTATGTCTCCATTGTAGGCATAGAAGAAAAAAGACCCCACAAAACTGTAGAGGAGATTTCCTGTATGCTTTTCCTACCACTTCTGACTAATCCTACACTTCACAGTGCTGCTTTTGACTTAGAAAATCCTGACCTTCCCTCTTCCTAGGACGGCAAACCCCATAAACTGTCCCCACACCAGGATTACCTTGAGGTGTAGACATCTGCCCCAGCAATTCTCTTGCTGCTGCAGGACTGGTGGAGGCGGCAGGTGCTGTGCCTTTCCTCCCGTGGAAAGGGTCCGTAAAGGATGGCAGAATGTAGCTGCCTTCTAAAGGCTAGGAGATAGGCTCCCAGCCCATGCTTGGGATGAATCTAGATTTTGTAGCCGTGCTGGATGCACTATCAGCAGGTGGCTGGACTCACCCTGAATGGTATTATTTTGTTAGGTAGATAGTTTGGATTTTTAACAGTCTTAGATTTTCCATTTGGTGCACTGATGTCAGCAGTACTTTCTGGCTGTCCATGCCACCATTCATCCCAATCACCACTGTGCAAAACAGTGGTAGCAAAACAAATGAATTACAAAACAAATCCTTTTCTATGTATTCTCTCTGACTGGCTAAGAACCTTGCTTTGGAGATGCATCCCCTACTCTGCACTGCAAAGCACAGCACATAGTCCAACATAAATGAACTGTTCTCTTAATGAAGCTGCTAATGTCCTGTGCATTCTCATAGAAATTTTACTCAGCAATAATACACCCAAGTAGAATAGCTTTTTACTGTCTGTACCAAATGCTGTCATGTATCATACAGCCCACACATGAAGGAAAACAGGAGGAACACAAATCTGCTACTAGGAATAGGATGAAAAGAGATCTTGTGATCTATTCAGCCTTCTCTGTGAACAGAGCAACACTTGTAAAACAAATGATATTTAATATTTATGGTGATGTGAAGTATTCACATCCAGCATCTGAACTTGTTCCTAGCAAAGTAAATGGCAAAATTCCCATTGATTCCCGCAATACAGAGATGTAACACGTTAAAGTAATGCTTTGCAGGTTTGCTATGTATTTTTCCTACTTACTGTGGCTGTATATTTGTGATAAGGGAAGTTCTGTGTTTTCCAACCCCTGAGTTCAGTTCTCCTTCTATTTTGCATGTAGTTGTCACTGATTTGTAGTCTCTGAAACACAAGTGCAATAAAGGGTCAGAAGCCACTGGAATGGGCAAGAAAGTGGGCAATAGTGGATAAACCAAGTGTTCCACTGCTTGGAGACCAGTGCATGTTCACTACTGCCCAGTGCCTTAAATCAGTAGCACCCCAACAGAACTTGTGTGCTAATGCAAGCTACCAGATACACAGGTGGTCAGAAAGACCTTACGCTGTTTATGCTTTGCTTCAGTACTGTTTGGACAGGAGAAGTAACACTTTCTATTTGTTTACAGACATTTTTTTCTTTTTTTTTTTCCTTTCTTTTATTTTTCACTTTTTTTTTTCTTAACAGAAAAGCTGGGATGTTTTCAGGGTTTTATGTAGTAAGCCAGAACTGCAAGTTCTGCATTGTGAACTGGGTTTTCATTACTCTTTGTATAAATGTTACAGAAGATTCAGGTGAAATTTTTCATACCCAGGGGATACGTTAAACTTGTACTGCCAAAAATTCAATTTCAGACCAAATACAGCCTGGAGAAGCCTGATTAAACCACCTGCTTGTGGTCTGTTTTTGTGGAACAAACTATCAGTTGCACACTGCTTCCACCCACTATGATAGACACAACTACTTGGTGATGTCCTGGAGCAGAATTTTCTGTAATCCATTGTAGTCTTCCTCGTGTGAGTCTGGTAGAGCATGTCCCTGCTTCAGGTTCATAAAAGGAGCAGCTGGTATGAAAGGGAGATGACGGAGCTGGTGTCCTCAGTAAGTGCTGTAGCAAAGACCCTGGTGCCATCGACTGCCAGTGTTCACTGCATTACATAGGTCACAGTGGCACAGGGGCCCTGGGGATGCCTCTGAGGCCCTGGGGCTAAGTCACGTCCCAACAAGCTCTGGAGGAAGTCAGACAAAGATGCCGGCAGAAGTAAATGGCAGGGTATGGTCTGTTTTTCAATTCCTGCAGGATTGAGCAGTGTGCACCTGCAGCCAGTACGTGCTGCAGATGGCAGATGAACGAAGGGGCTGGCCGTGCCCTATAGCTGGCAGACTGTGTTCTCCTGGAGCTGCCGCGTGCCAGTCAGTGTGGGAGAAGATCTGGCTCTCTGTCGTTCCCTGAGATGATACACAGGAATCTTGCCCTCCTTCCTACCCGTTTTTCCTTCTCTCGACATCACGTGTGTGGGAGGGGGGGGAAGCGAAGGGGGGAACTTGAGGGGAATGTGAGAAGTGAGTGAAATTAAGTATGAGGTATTCTCCAAGATGAATCCCTCGTGTCAGGAAGGGGGTGGACTTTTGGATCACAGCCTGAATTACACATGTATACTATTTTTATGCAAAGAGTAACTGAAATGCATAGCATAAGATTATGTTAGCGCAGGCTAGAAGAGCAGCCACCTGTGAGGCATGAAATAGCCTGTGATGGAGATCATGTGAGATAGCCTTTCACAGGCAACTAGAGAAAGAAGGATGATTCCCAGCCTGCACGACCTTTTTCTTGGTGGTGTACATCTCTCCTGCTCCTGAGAGCATCACCTCCACATCATGAGCCTTGTGCTATCTGTTCATCCTGCTTCAGTCATGAATTCAAGGGCTACTCTTTCAGCTGTGTAGAATCATAGAATCATAGAATCACTCAGGTTGGAAAAGACCTTAAAGATCATTGAGTCCAACCATGACCTAACCATACTACCTTAACTAACAACCCTCCACTAAATCATGTCCCTGAGTCTTGGTTTATACAAGCCGAGCAGAAGGTTCTCATTAAAAGCTAGTGCTCTCTTCAGCAGAATGAGCTCTCTAAAGAGCGGAAGGGAAGGACAGGAAGCACCACTCAGGAAAGCTGCAGCAATGAGATCTGCTTAAAGTTATCAATATCCATTTTATTTTTTGTTGTTGAAATTGTAACTAGATGCCTCAAGCAAATACCCATTGTCTTCATGAATGAAACAAAGAATTTTAAGGAATAAACACATTTTCTTATCTAAGGTTAACACTGCCAAAAAGAAGTTGAGACTTTCAGTCAACTGTGTATTAAAACTCAAGCTTGCTATGGCATTTGTAATCCTAATAATTCTTTTTCTTTTCTGTCGATATGCAAATAAATGAATTGATTGATAAGACCCTATGTGGAAAAAAGAGATTTTTCAGGTTTTTATATAAATTTGTGTTTATGAACTTTACTCCTGGGATTCTGTAGCCAGACGCATCTTTCAGCCTTTTTTTGCATAGACCAGTGATAGACTGCAGGAAGAAGCTATATTTTCATGACAGTGTAATTAAACAAAGCAAACCTTTTGCTAGTAGACTTCACTTATCAAGTTTGTGTATCCAATGAAAATGGTCCATATGCTGAAAAGATCAAGAAGTTCTTTGTGGTAGTTTCTTCACCTGCATGTGCAAGGCAGGAGAGGAGACCTGTGATAGAATTTGTTCTTTCACAACTTACTGCTCCATGGTACAGCAGCAGTGGTACCAGCTGTACTCTAATTATTCGTCATGGAGATATAACACTGGGCATAAGAACAACTGAATCTACAGATTTCTACTGTTGCAGGTTCTGTTCTGGCCAGCAGGGAGAAAGCTATTGATTTTCTCCTTTTTAACAGAGATATAAGTAAGAATTAGAAGTGTGTTATATAACTTACTTGGCTGATTGTACCAAACAGCTACTCAAAGATCTTGCCAGCACTCAGTAGTCTGTAATATTTTTGTTCCATGAAGTGTCTGGACCATCAGGAATGACAAACAAGTTTTTAAACTCAAAACTAATTCATAGGTAATTTGTGATCAGAATAAATGACAAATTACGTCAAGTTCGTAGCTCCTCATCATCACAGAATCATCATAGAATGGCCTGAGTTGAAAAGGAACACAATGATCACGGATTTTCAA